CGTTTACATCCTGATCTATGGGCACAAGGCAGGGAGGGGTAGTGGTGTGGGCTTTTGAGAACTTAAAGCCTATCTTCAGTGATATACCTCCTCCATCAAGGCCACACCTCCTAATCCTTCCCAAACAGTTCTAACAATTGAGGACCAAGTGTTCAAACATGAGCCTATGAGGGTCATCCTCCTTCAAACCACCATATCCCTGTTAGGTATCTGGCTGCTGTGACACTAGAACACCTTTACAAACAGATGTCCTTTAATAGACTTAAAGAAACTTGGTTGATTGCTATTTGTTTGTGTGTTTTGGTTAGGCAGAGGAAGGGCAGATTATGGATATTCCTAGACCCTAAGCACATCTGCTTTTGGATGGCTTACTTTAATATCTCCTCAGATGCACTCCAGTGCACTTGTAGTCTCAAGTGAGAGATGGTATGTTGCTGTAGAAACCAACTGAAACATTTTTTTTCTTTTGATTTTTGCAATTATTTGGTGAGACTAAGTCATTTTGTTTTGAGAGACCCATATCTCAGCAATCATTATGGATATTGTGAATTCCAACCAAGTGAGAAAAGATGACTATCAAACTGTTTCCAAACAGAATATGTTTCTGATGAATTCTAGGAACCACCATATTGTTATATTTCACAGACACTTGAGATTTATGACAGTGTTCAAAGTAGAATTTTAACTGCCTGCATCCAAAGCCTCCATCACTGGGTAGCTGTGTGAATGGACCAGGTCTCTAAGCATCTCTATGTCACAGTCTCTTCCCCTGGGAAATGGGGATATTTTGCTACTAATATGAAATTAAATATGACTGACTTCCAATATTTCTTTGAGTTTTTTTTTAAAGATTTATTTATTTATTATTTATGAATATACTGTAGCTGTCTTCAGACATACCAGAAGAGGGCATCAGATCTCATTACAGATGGTTGTGAGCCACCATGTGGTTGCTGGGATTTGAACTCAGGACCTCTGCAAGTGCAGTCAGTGCTCTTAACCACTGAGCCATCTCTCCAGCCCCTTCTTTGAGTTTTTTAAAGTAACACATTTATTTGTTTTTAAGTCTCAAGTGTTTCTATAGGGTTTGGAAAAACTGTCAGGTGCTATGAAGTACGTCTATAGTGCTTTATGAATTAAAGTGGCCCTGAGCTAAAGAATGGGGTAGTTTAGAATATTCCTTTGGGACTCTGGATATCTCTGATGGACAAAGAGAGAAAACTAGAGTATCACAGACAGTCAGCCTTTGCCTTCTTGTCAGATAACAAAGTCATCATTTACGGGCACACATTGTTATTCAGGAAATCTGATAAATGCTTGAATGGCTTATTTTATTCAACCTTAGGAAAATAGAGATAAGGAAAGGATTGAGAGTTAATAGGAGCTAGAAATTACACAGTTAGAGATTTCCAGGGACGGTAAAGCAGAAAAACAAATTACCACCCTACTAAGTCTCTTTAATGGGAGAAAGAGGATACTGGGTTGTAGTTGGTGAAACTGAAGCCCCATGGAGTGAGACAGTTTACCTAAATTGTCTGTGAGTTTCTGCAGGATACATGAGTATAGACGGTTCTTTGGAATATTTTGTTTCCTTTCTTGTCCACGATGCATTAAGGCAGACACATTTACTCATTACATGGTACTTTCAGAGGTTTCCTGTCCATCCATCCATGGAAAAATATGACAGAACTTTCTGCCAAGCTTATAAATGAACTATTCTCTATGTCTTGGAGCTAAATCTTCACATAAGATGGGTGTGGTGATGTATTCCCAGATGCTCAAGAGGGTGGTTCAGTGTAAGAAGATCAAAAGTTAGAATCTAGCTTAGATCACTTAGCAAGAATTAATGTTTAAAAAAAATTAAAAGTTTTTGAAATATGAGCTAATATGAGCTAAGCAGGTGAGGGCTTGGTACACACACACACACCACACACACACACACACATACACACACGTACACACACACACACATATACACACACATATACACCACACACACACATAACATACACACACACATACACACACACCACACACACACACACATACACACACATACACAAACACCACACACACACACACCACACACACACACACATACACACACACATACACACACACACACCAGAGAGAGAGAGAGAGAGAGAGAGAGACAGAGAGAGAGAGACAGAGAGAGAGAGACAGAGAGAGAGAGACAGAGAGAGAGAGACAGAAGTTGGGTGGATGGGTATATCTGGGAGTTGGGGGAAAGGAAAGAATAATAATATTAAAATATATATATTTGTTTGTTTCATTCTATTCTGCTTTGTTTTTGTTTTATTTTATTATATTTTTAGCTGCCTGCCTTTTAAGGAGAGAGAAAGAGTGTGGATTGGATGGGAGGGGAGGTGGGAAGGATATGGAGGGATTGAGGGAGGGGAAATTGTAATTAGAGTATTTTATGGGAAAAAGATCTATTTTCAAAAAAAGAAAGCTAAATAAAAAAAATATATGTAAAAATTTTAATAAACAATGAAAAAATACATAGGCGTAAAACTGCCAAAAGGTATCTTGGCATAATTAGAATGTCAAAGACATCCATTTTTGTCATATTTCAGCAATGTTCACTGAGGGTTGTTATCAAGACATCAGAAGGAGGAAAGAAGATTTATCCAATGTATTTGGATAAATCAGCATCAATTTATACACTAATGCTGATTTAGCTACAGGGACTTTGCTTAAATTCATCTCCTAATGAAGGTACCAGCTTGACTTTTCTCCTCAGCACTTCAAGAGGAAGCTAGAAACTGGATTCCACATATGCTGTCAATCAACCATACAATGGCCTGTTTGGGAACATCAGACACTAGTACTTGTCACCTTATGCCAACTTTTAGGTTCTCTTGCTTTCCAGCTAAGGCAGGTTATTATGTGCTGTACACAAGAGCTCAGAAAGAAGGTCTCCTCAGCCAAATCTGTAGTTATAGTCTTTTGAGAAAGCCCTGGGATTCTGGCAATTAGTAAATTTGACATGACAAGAATTATTAAGTGTTTTGGATGCAGCCAACTCCCCCCTTTTTTCAGTAAACAAATTTAATGGATCCATCACAATACCTCATTCAGCTTTATTTTGACAATACTGTAATTTATAGCACTCTAGGTTGGTGGTGAACAGGTCAGGCCAAATACATGCTATGGTTGTTCCTTCCCAAGAATAGCGGGGAGGATATTCTCACTTGGCATTGATGTGTGCAGATGTATACAAATTCATAATGCTTGCATTAACTTCTAGATACATCATTGCTGCATGCTTCCTTCATGATCTTTCTCCACTGCCCATCTTCTCTTGGCTGCCCAAACTTTTTTTTTTCATTTTTTTTCTTTTTTTGTTTTTTTCGAGACAAAGTTTCTCTGTGTAGCTTTGGCTGTCCTGGAACTCTGTAGACCAGGCTGGCCTCGAACTCAGAAATTCACCTACCTCTGCCTCCCAAGTGCTGGGATTAAAGGCATTCGCCACCATTCCCCAGCCAACTTTTTCATTTTTATCTCCCATTTGATAGAATGTTTTCACAGTCTAGGGACCACAATTTCCATTTCTTAGCTTTAGCCCATATGCCTACCAAAACATCCTGCTCAGAACTAGAAGTTAGATGATCTCAACTATGATTATATGTTAAAGAAACTGTCTTGGGAAGGTTATCAAAGCTGTTTGGTTCACATGAGTACTCTGCTTTCAAAGAAATATCTTCAGAGAAGATAATTTTATTGATGCAAAATTTAAACTTTGTCTTTAGATAATGTTTTCAGAGCATCTTTATAAGCTACACAAGAAATCTTTATACATAGTAAAACAGTTGTTAGACACAGATGTACTCTCTCAGCTGAGTACATTACTTACTTATTCATCATTTTCTAGAATGTTCTCCTGAACCAAATATTTCCCACTTTCCTGAAGGTGTGACCTCAGAAAAGCTTCTGAATTTTTCTAGCTGTTGTTATGGGAAGTGTCTAGCTTCTCAAGAAAGTCAGTGGGATATCTCAGGGTAAAGGCACTTGCTACCAAACCTGGTTTTGATCCCTGGAACCTACATGATGGGAGAATGGAACTGTTGATGTCCACAATTACCCTCTGACCTCCACAAGTGTGTCACAGCACATGTGTACACACACACACAATAAAGAAGTGTGTTAAATTTTTTTTAAATGAAAGAACATAACGAAGTTATGACAAAGTCAGTATTGTCCTTACAATTCAGATGTGTTCATTCCTAGAGGTCATTTATTGTCTGGTCATTCCTTAGGTCATAGCTGAAATGCACACAAAGAAGTAGAAACAAGGCCTTTGGAGATGGTAGGTGTCTTGAGGAAAGAAGAGTTTAGCTTTTTTCAGTCACTATTGTTTACAGACACAGTAAGACCTGAGAGACCAGATTCCACAGTAACAGAGAACATTAAAATGTGTTTTTGTTTATTTTTCTCTTCATAACCGTCAAACTGTCGGATTCCTAACTGTACCCAGAGATTTAGATCTTGTTAATTTGGGGAAAATGCAGTGCTAATTTGAATGTATGAAGTACTAACAGATATCCCAAACACATTCTTAATGTGCTTCAAATGATTTGAATGGTTTCAGAATCAATTGCATTCTTTATTTCCGACAGAGCAACACTCCTTTGGGCTTAGCTAACTACAGCAGTAAACTTTCCAAGTGCTTTACAGACCAGCTCTGGAGGCTATAGTGTGCGTGTTTGGCTTTGGTTTACTAGAACAGCTTAACAATGGGCCAACAATATATTGATTAGCTGTCATGAGCCCAGATCTGTGAGAGCCATTTGGACCCTAGTTAATGGCTGCTCACTCTTCAAGGGAGGGTGAGGTCCTGTAAGGCCAGAAACAGGAAATGCAGGAAGCAAGCCAGACATGATGGATGCTGTATAGTATTCAGGCTAGGTCATTTTGGAAGACTGAGTAAGAGGGAGATGAAGCAGGGCTATCACTGTCTCTTCAACCCACGAGCTTACCTCACTCCAGTTGCCTACGGTCCAGTCTGATGGACACAGAATATCTCTGTTGCAGGAAACCAGGGCCTTGGGCTTCAGCAGGTGCTGGCAGTCTGTAGCAGGGAGAGCCTGTTCATCAGAGCCCATGGTCTGGATGCACAGCACTGTTCTCTTTTTTTCTCCATAGGGCCCACATGTCGTTGAACATGCTTCCCACTCCCCTGCCCACCACCTGTAGGCAGACACAGAAGTGTGAGATCAGCAACAGTATGTGCACACCCATTCCGTCACTGCTGGAGAAAGTAGGCGCCTGTATATTACACGGGAGACTCTTGGAGATGGTGCAGGCTCTGTAGATATTTTATGCCGACAAAGCCAGTGTGACTTGTTCAAATAAACCCCAAAGCCCAGCAGAGACCCCTGGTACATGTAGTTGCTAAAACAAAAACAAACAAACAAACAAACAAACAAAACATGGTTCAGGGGGTTTACAAGATGGCTTAGTAGTTTAGAGCACTTGTTGTTCTTTCAGAGGACCTGGGTTCAATTCCCAGCTCCCACAGGGTAGTTCACTATTATCTGTAATTTCAGTTCCAGAGGACCCAAAACCCTATTCTGACACCCAAGGACACAAGGCACATAAGTGCTGTATATACATACTGTCAGGCAAAACATTTATACACAGAGAATTTAAATTTTACTTTAAAAGAATGATGTCTTTTAATGAAAAAAAAAAAAGCTTCTAAGTCAAGAAAATTGAGGTCCAAGGTTCTCTCTGTGAAACTTCAAAGGAGTTTAAACCTCCCTTTCTCATCTGTTGGGTGAGGGTAGTAATAATGACTTTATCAGTACCATGGATTAAATGAAATACCAATTCATGCAAAGTGAGGCGCCAAGAGGCCCCCCACCCACCAGATCTCAATCACTTGTGAGTCATTGGTACTTTGACTGGAGGTGTGAAGTGACAGCATTCTCTTGTCTCCTGACTCTGAACCTAATGTTTTTCTATACCACTATGAGACAGATACAAACGCCCCCTTTTTCACTCACATAGACAATGTCAAACCTAGCTCACTGCTTTTATTTTGCCTTTGTATCTTCAGCAACCTGCTTATTCAGAGTTTAAGTTACTCATTTCATAAAGGAGGAAAAACAACTTAAAGAAGGTAATTTCTTCCATCTCAGAAGTGTTGTGGATAACCCCGTGTTGCTTGTATTTTGATGCTAATTTTGCTCTCCTGGGAGGGGCTGTGGAAGAGGAGTGAGTTACTTACTCAGGTTCATTTCTTCAGAACCATACACTAATGAATAAAGGAGCCAATCACTGGCGAGTAGACTTCCAGGTTGGAGAGGGGAAGAGAAGAGGCTTTTGGATGGGGATAGCAAAAGGACAAGATGTAGTTACCAGTGTCTCCTGGTTTCTATGGCAGATCCACCAGGATTCACCACAGGAGGATTTAGATTTAATATGGCTGACAAGATTAGGATTCTAGTTGTTTCGATTGAGTTACCATTGTTTCTGCACTAAGTTTATGTGTTTTCTTTCAGGTGGCGGTTCAACTGGATTCCAGAGAGAAAGATACCGAGGCAAAGCATGGGTTTGCCAGAGGCACACCACAAAAGACCGTGGGGATTTTGAAGCATGGGGCTGACATGGTAGCCAGTGGGAACTTAGTGAGGTGGATGGAGAGATTTTGGAGCTCTGAGTCAGAGAGTCTCCACGAGCTAAGAACGGGCCATCCATTGCCACTAGTGCATGCATGGCCGGCCAGCTTGCCGGGGCAGAGAGTAGCAGGGTGTAGCTAGGGAACTAAAAAAAAAAAATCCCACAACACAGAAGCTCCCGAGAAGTTAAGCAGCTGGGTGAATTAATATATTTATTTTTCTTGTCTGAGGACAAGTTGGTTGGTAAGCTCTTTGTTTCTGAGTGATTAATTGAACATTCCAGGGTGGGGCCCAATGGCTGCATGGAAGAACTTTTGGGAAATGGCAGGGATTCCTACGGGAACCCCTGCATTCTTCCTTTTCCATCAATCTGCAAACCTGCTCTAGCTCAGAAAACAGAGCTAGTCTCTTGTGCCAATGTAGTTTGGGTTCATCGTTGCGTTGTGGACACTCAGTTCTTCCATATGAGCTCTCATGCAGCGGTAAAGTAGGGCATTTCTATTTTTCACGGGGACATAGCACATGATGGGAAGCTCTCCAGTCTTGACCTGGAGACGGCCCCTTGGCCTCGAGACAGTATTCAATTTTGCTAACTGTGAAGATGAGAAAGCCTTGTTCTAGTCTTTTCATTCGCTGTGTATTATGTTTGTGTGGGCGGAACTCTTTTTGGTTCTCCTACTTTTAATTTCAAGTTAAAATTTGTAGAAGAAAGCTCTTTCTCGATTGGACTATTTTCTTCAGTAAGCAAGTAATTAAGGGCACCGATTTATTCTTCGGTGTTTAATTCTGGTTGTCTTGTATGATCAAAGAGCTAATATTTGACAGTGTGATGTGGAAGCAAATTAATGCCCACTGTATTAGTCTAATTACTTTGCCCCACCTCTGACATTTCCAAAGGAGGCCAGGCAGACTGCTGAATATATAAAATGTCATTCTGGAAAGGCCCTCATCTGAGCTGACTGAAGGCCTAATTTACCTAATTACCTGCTACAGGGCTTTCAGTTGTGTTCTAATGAAGTGATAATGGCCCTTCCTGTTTTCCCTTTCTGAAGTTTTCCATAGTCCTCATGGGGTGATCATGTGCTAGTCCTGGGATTAAAATGTGTCACCCAGGGGGCTGGAAAGATGGCTCAGTGGTTAAGAGCACTGGCTGCTCTTCCAGAGAATCCAGGTTCAATTCCCAGCACCCACATGGTGGCTCACAACTGTCTGTAACTCCAGTCCCAAGGGACTTGACACCTTCATATAGACATGAATGCAGGCAAAATTAAAATTAAATACATTATTTATAAAAGAAAGTGTTACTTAAAGTTCATGAGTTAGAAACTCATCAATGCAATGGTGTTGGGAGGTGGGGCCTAATGGAATTGTTCAGTCCATGAGGACAGAGGCATTAGAATGGATTACTGCTACTATAAGCTGCTGCCTGTGGGAGTGGGCTTGGTCTCCTTACTCTTCTGCTGACTGGGAACACACTTCAGCTTTCGGTCTCTTCAGGTGTTGTGTGAAGATGAAACAAGAGGAACCTCACTAGTGCTGGTGCTTTAAGTCTCGAGTCCCAATTTCTAAAAAAATCACAAGAAATAAAATTCTGGTCTTTATAAATTACCCGGTCTATGGTATTCTGTTCCAGAAGCACAAGCTAGACTAACATATCTTGTCAGCTTGAAATGAGACCTATCAATTTTTCATTTTTCGTGTCAAGGTCTTCCAGGTTCAAGCTCCACCGCTGGCCCTTAATCTTCCCATGCTGGTTACATCTTGTTAGCTTGACACAAACTATAGTCACCTGAGAAAACAGAACCTTCACCACATTGGCCTGTAAGCAAGCAAGTGTGTGGGGACATTTTCTTGATTAATGATTGATGTGGGAGGGCCCAGAAAGCAATGCCCCCCAACCTCTGGATGAGTGGTTCTGAGTTGTATAATAAAACAGCATGAGCATGCCATGGTAAGGAATCCAGTCAACAGCATTCCTCCATGGTCTCTGCTTCAGTTCCTGTCTCTAGGTTTCTGACTTGGCTTCCTTAACAATGCACTGTGATGTGAAAGTGGAAAATGAAATACATCATTTCCTTCTCCATAGCACAGATAAGGACAAGACAATGCTTGACCAAATGCTGTACGCTGCCTTGTGACATCCACTTTTAACAGAGACTTCTGCAAAGTCAGGTTAAGATTGTCCACTCAAGTAAATGGTTAGCCTTGATATCTGCTTGGGTTCCTTGGACTCCATTTCTCCCCTATGATCACCCTGATGTATCTTGAGAAAGGATACTACAAGGTCAGCTTTGCCCCATATTTTCTTTAGTCCCTTTTTTGATATAACATTTACCTTTCCATTGACCTATACCCTGATACTCAGATACAGACTCCCACTGGTCCATGCTATAGTTGGTATGGAGGCCAGTATCTCCTCTATAGTAAATTTCTATTATAGTGATCCCTATATCCACAACGTTGGATAAAGGAGTGTTCGCTCTAACAAATATTAATAATTTTTTTAACAATTGAATAATGTTTTCTTTTATAACACTTAACACACAACTGGACAATCAAGCGTCCATTGTGTATAGTGTTCTTTAATCACTAAACATTAGTGGGTCTCTTACCCATTGTGATGTAAAAATCCTTAGGACTGGATTTATATCACAGCTTATTATTATATCAACATTAGTGGAACTTTAAAAGAAGGTACATCTCTGACTAAACTCAGAATCTCTTATAGGGAGGGCCAAGATATCAATGCCTTGTAAGAACTACCTGATGAATAATCTCAAGTCAGGACTGGAAGCTACTGATGTTCTTGATGCCAAATAAATATAGTTTTGACTTTGTATATCTAAATCTTACCCAAACAATGGACTTTATTGTTTTAATATGAGCCATAAGTTATATAGAAGAGCATTCTGTGTGTGTGTGTGTGTGTGTGTGTGTGTGTATGACAGAGAGAGAGAGAGA